CCCTGGGCTCTGAAATCACTTCCAGGCCAGTAGCCAAGCACAAGCTGTAAATAACAAATGGTGGCTGATGATTCCATCTCATTTTGCTCTGAGATGTTGTCAGCTCCGGGCTTTCCCTTGGCATCTTCTCTACAGTGCTTTGTGTCCCCATTTTTAGCTCCCAGTGCTGTTGTGGCATCTGGCTGTGCCCTGTCGTGCTGTTGGTTTGAACTTGGTGTGAAGGAGTCACTTCTGTGGTGGCCTCCACAGGGACTTAACGCAGGAAAAGCTGATGGATCCATGATCTGTGGTCAGGGTGATGTTTGTCTCTTCCCTCCCTGGGGCTTCTCTGGTCATTGCTGCTTTGGGAAGGGTCGGAGATAAGCTCAGAGGAGAAACATCTGGGATTTACACTCTGTCTCAGCCCTCCAACACGAGCAACTTGGAAGGCAGATCTTGTGGCTTAATCTGAGAATCTTTGCACCCAAGCACCCAAAACTACACAGGAAAATCCACCTGGTGGGTATCCAGACTTTATCCCGTGACCGAACATTCACATCTCATCAAACATCCAAAGTGTCCATCACACTGCTTCTTTTCCTCACTGTTTAGGAAATTCTAAACCCCTTTTATTGCCCTTGTAAGATGATGCTGTAGCAATTAGGCAACACATCTGAGCCTAAGGCCCTTCTGAAACCCTGCTGTACACAAATATCACATAAGAGCAGTATCTGTCCAGGATCAAGATGATACTGTGCAAACACTGAAATATTAGGAGACACGCCTAGCACATGCAAATGCCCTCCTGCTCGGAACTCGTGAGCTTGGCTAGCCTCTTCACATCAGGAACTGAGCTGGGAACATCTGGCTTGGTGCAGCAAAGGTAAATATTCCAAAGAAAACACAAGGCATGCAAGCAAGGGCTGCTGGAGCCACGTCCCAGCGCTGTAACCGTTGTCCTTCTCTATTCCACCACCTTGTTGTGCTCATTCCTTGCCTTTTCATTGCACAATCGTTTGGGTGAGGGACTCAGCTGGATCTTTGTGTTTGCCTTGCCAAACACGCAGCACATTTTGTTTCGTGGTTATATGCAGAAACAGCTCACCACCTCCTTACAGCATGGTCCTCTCCCACATTAAGCTTGTGTTTGCTTAGTTAGAAGCTGGTGTTGCTGGTGGGACTCTGGCCCTTGCTGTCACCCTCCCCGACTCCTTGGCACCCATCTCGCAGTTGTTTGGATCCGTCCCGGAGAACAGGCGCGAGGTTTCACTGTGCCTCGGGGAAGCACGGCGTTCCTTCTGCCGGCTTTGTTACTGCTGAATCGAATTTACAGCTCAGCCGCGTGCGGTGGCTGGCTGCCTGGCTTCCACTTGGTGTGTTTATTCATTTTTCAAAGACCTGAGCTACAGCCTATAAATATGGGGAAAAAGGCTCCAGATCAGCTCTTTTCATGCCTCGTTAGTGTTGTTCAGTGCTTGATCCTCCTGTTTTATCCACCGGGCTGCAGTCCTTTAGCTTGCACGTATGCACGCTTGCCATCATGCTCCACTGTCCGCCCTGGTTCTCCGAAGGATGGGCTGAGCCAGAATTCCCTAGTCATCAGAAACACTTAGAAAATAGTTGAATTGTCCTTTAACAATTGTTTTTAAACTCCCCTGTAGTGTTTTTTGCTGCAGGTTAGCTTGACAAGCTAAATTGTAAAACAGTCCTGTAAACAAGGGTTAAAAACCCCAAATAGTGAGTCAGAACAGGCATTTGAAGAGACATGGACTATCTCAGCTTGTCAAAATAAACGTTTTGTGTAAGCACAGAGTGTGCTACTGTCTGAAAGCTCGTAACTTAAACCAAGGCTTCTTTTGGTTTGACTTCTCCCTGCTTGTAAAGCTGAGTGTGTATACCATAGGTATGGAACGGCATAACTTTACAGCAACGTGATGGCAGTGAAACGTTTTTGGTACGGAAACTTTTTTTCTGAAAACATGTCGGGCTGTTTCTATTTATAAACTTTGGGAAGAGCCCGGGCTGCCTGTTGGCCGATCATCCCAGTACGCTGCTCGCTACCCTGCTGCTGGGCTGTCAGCTAGTGCCTCATGGGGCTGTCCTGGCTGATCTGCTGATGCCTCCCTCGCAGGGAGAATGGCTGGCTGTTTCTAGACAGCACGGTTCATGCAAGGGAAGCAAGCAGAGCCCCAACACCCGCCCTCGGGATGCAATGAAAACCAGTTATTGTCAAGCGGGTGCTAGCAGGAGCATTGGGTTGTAGCTGGGACCGTGGAGGGGCCGGGCAGGGGGAGCGTGGGGAAGGCAGAGCTCAGCGCCGGCCACGTTCATGCTGTGCGAGCAGGAGCACGGTTTATGTAAAAGCAAATTCCGGATGCTTTGCACACCCAGAGCCCATCTGACACCAGCCGTGGCAGGGACAGAGGCTGCAGGAGCGGTGGCTATGCTGCCACCTGGGATTGAGAGCCTGCAGGATGCGGCTGGGTGCAGAAGCCACTGAATATACACTTTTCCTTCCTCCTTCAATCCCTACAACTTTAGCAGAAGATAACTTGAAGCAGCATGTTTTTTTAAATGCTCTCATTTCCCTCCAGCTCTAACTCGGATCTCTAAGCTTTTTGTTGTTAACTTCCACCATGAGCTTATGGCAGGACCTTGGGAGAAATACATGTGGCGCTGTCCCTGCATGCCCCGTCCCTGAACACCCAAAGTTGGCACACTTTTCTGATGAGGACCCTGTGTATTGCAGCTGAATGTCAGAGCCCTGACAAACCCCAGTGTGTTTTTGTTCTGGGTGTTTCATAGAACCATAGAAACTTTTGGGTTGGAAAAGACTTTTAAGATCATCCAGTCCAACCTTTAACCCAGCACTGCCAAGCCCACCACTAAACCATGTCCCTGAGCGCCTCATCCCCACATCTCTTAAATCCCCCCAGTGATGGTGACTCCACCACCTCCCTGGACTGCCCCTTCCAATGCCTGACAGCCCTTTCCAGGAAGAAATTTTTCCTGATATCCAATCTAAACCTCCCCTGGTGCAACTTGCGGTTGTGTCCTCTCATCCTATCGCTTGTTACTTGGGAGAAGAGACCAACACCCACCTCTCTAATGAAGACCACACAGGGTATATCATAGTGACTAAGGTGGCAGCAGGCATCTATACCTAGGCAGCTGCATCTCCTAAATCCCCCCAGTGATGGTAACTCCACCACCTCCCTGGACTGCCCCTTCCAATGCCTGACAGCCCTTTCCAGGAAGAAATTTTTCCTGATATCCAATCTAAACCTCCCCTGGTGCAACTTGAGGCCGTCTCCTCTTGTCCCATCACTTTGTCGCTTGGGAGAAGAGACCAACCCCAACCTCTCTGCACCCTCCTTTCAGGGAGTTTCCCTGATAGGCGTCATAGCTTGGTCACAAAGAACTGACCCTCTTGCCAAGGGGGGTGGGAAGAGGCAGAATCATTCCCAATTTGAAAAAGAAAACTCTGCACAATGAGAAGTAAGGACCAGACTTTTCACCTGCACCTGACTGGTTTAGGAACAGGGAGTCTGTGAAGTGGGCTGGTTTGTAAATCCTGCCCGAAGCAGCTTGTCTCCTCCCTCCTCTGTGGTCCTGGCTCAGCTGAGGTTGGGGAGGAGTAACCAGAGCCCGGGGACACCTGGCGAACAGGGCTGAGGAGGTGACACGTATTTCTTGGCCTCCACTTCTGCATGTGTCAAATGGTTCATAAAGCACATAAGGAATAAGATTTAGCATCACTCTGAGGATCAGGCTTTCCACATCTGTAAACCAAACATCCTTGTTCTTTAACAGGACCATGTTCTGCATCTGCTGTCCTCCACAGCAGCCACGTCTTGTCCTGGCCTGTTTCGAGGGCAGCTGAATCACCCCAGCTCCTCTCCTCGAGGCTGCCTTGTGCATGGGGGACTGCCAAACTCTAAGGATGGATATATAAGGAAAAGCCTGGTTGCAGGATGGTTGCTCCATCTCTTTGTTCTTCCTTCCCTTCTCGCCTGCAGGCTGCTGTTCAGAGCTTGCTACAGCGCAGTTCCAAATATGCTGTAGCGTGGAACGTTGTCCCTTTGGCAGTGATGGACTTTCAGAGAAGCTTTGCAGCAGGACCTTCCTACCATCTCACCTAGCTAAGCAAGATTACGTTCTACTACTTTGACTAACTACTCATAATTACGTTAACTGTTGTAGTGCAAAGCTAGTGACAAGTAAAATATTTGAGTAAAAAACCTGCTTTTGTGCTGTGTAAGTCTTCAAGGACTAATGACATCTAAGTGAAAACAAGCTGGTTTTATGAAAAGCCTTGTATCTAAAAATACTACTAATGATGATCACATTTTTCCAAGAACTATTTGAATGCAGCTTCCTAGTCTGCATGATTTTTTTTTCCTTGGATTTTCTGCTTTGAAGTCTCTCTTGGGCAGACATCTTCCCAGCTAAGTTCAGCCTAATCCCTCCAGTTGTTTTTACCAACCTTGTGTCCCTGTGTTTGAGGTGCAAGACTTCAGTGATTACTGGGTCTTGGGTGGAAAGCTGAGGCTGGAAGGATCTTCAGTGTAGTCTTGTCCTGCTGTATGTGGTCAGTGCTGCAGAAATGAGAACTGCTGATTTCTTTTCCCCTTTTATTTTTCTTTCCCTCTTTTATTGTTCTTTGCCACTGTGCTTCTCTTGGTGTAATACTAACCTGCAGCTCCTTCTTGGTCAGTACAATCACATCCTGTGCTTAAGTTTAGAAATAAAGGCACAAAGGCTAGAAATTATGGACATCATCTGTATTTCATACATGGGTTATATGAATCTTGATGCAGAGTTGCTGTCTTGTATGGTGCTGCTGTCCCTTAGTGCTGCCTGGCCCTCCATGGCCATAGCAAAGCCATCGTTGATCCTAGCCATGATTTTTGGCTCCAAAGAGCATCCTTGGTGTCACCAAAGGGATCCTTCTTTCTAACTTTTCACAGAGAGGGAAGAAGCTAACTGCACTCTCATGGTGTCTGTTTTTTGGGTTCCAGAGTATGCCGTGCCCATGGGTCTGCCCAGCCACCTCATCCAGCGCCACCGCCCGCAGCCTGCCTACGTCACTTACACAGCCCCCGTGGTCAAGATGATCGTTGAGCAGGATGAGCGGAGAAAGGCTGCATCCAAGCGCCCAGCAGAGATGGAGCCAAACAGAGAGCCTCAGGAAGCTGGTTTTGAGGAGGAAACCCAAGTGATGTCTAAGCTGAGCAGAGGTAGCAGCAATCCTGGGACTGGAAAGGAGTCTGTAGGAGTGCCCATGGCTGAGAGCAGTCTGCCATCACCAAGTGTTTACAATAGGGTTATTTTTGCAAGAAAACAACCCCCCTTTCATGTGCTACCAGGTAGTTCCCTGGCACATTCCAGCAAGAAGAAATGATCTGTCCACAACTAGAAAGGAAGAAATGAAAGAAAAAGATGCTCTCAAATGTTTTCTAGAGTGCATTAAACTACAAATGCAAACAGGATTTAACTTTTTGACTCTTTTTCTAGAAGTCCCATTTGAATGAAAGCACACCAGCACAAAAGATGGTGGTATTGCATTTTGCACTTGCCTGCTTTCAGGTCTGGAGGAAACATAACCTTTTCCTACTGAACGTGCTTCACGTGCATCGCTAGTGGCTTGGCTTCTTGGAAATGCCCCACAAAGGGTGCAGAGGCATGGTATGGAGATGCGGATGCCTGCACGCCCATGCAGCGCACACACACAGGGCCCAGTTCTCTGCTCTCCTGCGTCTTGTGACCCCCGCTGGCATCAGTCCTGAGTGCTGGCAGCCATCGCCGGGATTTGGCTGAGGGTGATGGCCTGTGGGGACTCTGTGCCTCTGCAGCCACTTGAGATGTTGGGTGACTGAAGGAAAAGTGAACTGAGAGTCAGTGTTTCCTCTTCTTGAAGGTGAAAGAACATGGACTGGAAGGGAGGGGAATTTTCAATGAGCATTTGCTTGTACTTCTATCCATTTTCCCCTGGCTTGTCTGGCCCCAGGGTGCCAGGTCTGTTCAAGTTGCATTTACCGGAGTCTGTGTATATATCTATATCTGTCTATGTCTATGCATGTGACACTTCCATGCACACAAGTCAATTAAAAGCAGTGCAGTAGTAAAGCTGGTAGATGAGCTGCTATTCCTTTTTCACTTTTACTGATAAAGGCACTAAGGTCAAAATTGCTGGGGTAGATGTGCTTTTTTTTTTTTTTTGGCAAGTTCTTAGCCTTACATGATACTAGAAAGCTTGTACTTAGGGTCTCCAGCGGCTGGTGCATTGCCAATTCCACCCCTAGGTGCTGAGGGATATTGCCAGATTTTTAAAAACCATTTGCAAAGTCATCACCCCATTACTCTTTGGCCACAGAGGTAGAATCCAGTTTTCTAGGACTGTCGATGGCCACCTTCCTTCCTTCAGACCTTCTAACTTGTGCAATGGAGCCTGCTGGCACTTCTGACTGTGTGTCCATCTTTGTTAAAAAGGTCCATCCTGTGCGTCGAGCAAAGCAGGGTTCAAATTGGGCAAAATGCTGAGTGACTCCTCAATTAAAGACTATACCGGCCTGCATACCTGAGGGGTGGCTTCTCCATCATGAGCGCTGGCATGGGGAGCACCTAAAAGGGAGCAGGAGGCTCTGGAGAGGTGGGACACAGGGTGTCCAGTTTAGCCGTGCGTGTGGGTACCCCCAGTGTGCTTGCCTGCTGGCAGGGCCCTGCTGGGGAGGTGTGCCCTCATGTTTCTGTGGAGTTTCCAATTCTGGCGAATGTGGGTGGGCATTTTTGTCATGAAGACAGCAAAAGACAACCCTTTCTGCAGGGTGATCCCTTTTCATTTCAGATTCTGCTTCTGCAGGGACTGAACTGGTGTCAGATCATTTGAAATGTATTTGAAACAGTGTTTTCCTTGTGATGGTGGGAAAAAAACCTGTCATGGTGGTAAAAGAATTTTTTCCATCAAAATTTGCTTGAGGAAGCCATTTGCTCTGGAAAACTTCGATAAAGTGAAAAACAACTTATCTAATAATCAGGAGTACTTACTGCTGTGTCTAGTTCCCTGTTCCCAACTGCTGCTGTCAGCTCATGTGATTTTGGCTGAGATGGGGCCAGTGCCACTCATCAGCTGAATGCTTTGGGAAACAGTGTTGGGCCTTTGCAGGGGAAAAAATTCAAAGAATTAGAAAATGCAACAAAAAAGAGAAATTACTGCTTTCTATGGATGTATAAATAAATTTTTTCCCTGCCCTATTTCGAGCCCTGGGTTACAGACCCCCCTTGAGCCTGTGCACGCATAGATGCAGCACATTACGAGCCCTGTGTCCAACAGTGTCTCGCCTGCCAACCCACGGCTTTGGTCGCAAGCCCCGGAACAGGGAAGAAATAAATAAACCTTAGTTTACGGCTCTTCCCTCTGACTTTTCTATTTGTTGTGAGGGATCCTGGAAAAGGGATGCAGTGATGTCATGTGCTTACCACTTTGCTGATGTGAGGACTACAGAAATAGTTGGCAGCCCCAGCTGGGGCTGTGTCTTTCCTGCTTGTGGCTGGGGGAGTGTGGGTGCTGTCCTCCCGCACCCCCTCAGCATCCAGACCCCTGGGCCAGGGGCATCACAGAATCATAGAATTGTTTAGGTTGGAAGGGACCTTAAAGATCATCCAGTTCCAACCCCCCTGCCATGGGCAGGGACACCTTCCACTAGACCAGGTTGCTCCAAGCCTCATCCAGCCTGGCCTTGAACACTTCCAGGGATGGGGCATCCACAGCTTCTCTGGGCAACCTGTCCCAGTGCCTCAGCACCCTCTCCATGGAGAATTTCTACGCGATATCTAAATCTTCCCACTTTCGATTTAAACCCGTTACCCCTTGTTCTGTCATTACAGACCCTTCTAAAAAGTCTCCTCCAGCTTCCTTGTAGCCCCTTTAGGTACTGGCAGGGGCTATAAGGTCTCCCCCGAGCCTTCTCTTCTCCAGGCTGAACAAGCCCAGCTCTCAGCCTGTCTCCACGGCAGAGGGGCTCCAGCCCTCTGAGCATCTCTGTGACGTCCTCTGGATTTGCTCCAACTATTTGGTATCCTTCTGATGTTGGGGGCCCCAGAGCTGGATGCAGCACTCCAGGTGGGGTCTCACGAGAGCAGAGGGGGAGAATCACCTCCCTTGACCTGCTGGCCACACTGCTTTGGATACGGTTGGCTTTCTGGGCTGCCAGCGCACACTGCTGGCTTCTGTCCAGCGTTTTGTCCACCAGTCCCCCAAATCCTTCTCCTCAGGGCTGCTCTTTATCCATTCTCTGCCCAGACTGTCCTTGTGCTTGGGATTGCCCCAGTCCATGTGCAGGACCTTCCACTTGGCCTTGTTGAACCATTTGTGAGGGGAGTGGGTTTATTATTTATTTAATTCAGTATCTAATAGCATCGATGTATGTAGTTGACATCACGTTGGTGTCCCATGGGAGTACTGAAGCAAGTGGGAGAGGTGTGAGATGTGCTGTGAAGCACTGTCCAAGCTTTTCGGCGTTACTGCTTTGCTCTGCAATCACATATTCCCAGCAAAGGGGGTTAAGGCATTGATTCCTCTCTAGGTTCGCTGTAGGCTAGCTCTGCCTGTTCGGATGATGCTGAAGCTGGTGTGAATTGTATGCGCTTGCACAGCTTGGGGATGGTGTGAAGGAAAACACCCACCTTCCTTTTCCTGGCTGTACAGGGGTTTTACCAGGGCTGGGATCTTGTTCATACCTCTGTGTTAAACCATTTTCAATATTACACCTCCTCCCTTGGGGAATGGCCTTCTTGTTCTCAGGTGAAAGACCAGAGTTATTTATAGGCAGTGGTGTGGTGGTAGGTGGTGTAGAAAGAGGTTGAAATCATCCCTAGAGAGCCCGAAATGGTAGCTGAGGTGACTGAAAAAACATTTTTGGGGTTTTTTTGCACGTGCAGGTATTTGCACAAGTATCCAAACATGTTCGGAATTCAATGTGGGAAGGTGTCCCAGGGTATCCTTGCAACAGCATCTTTCCAGGCGGGAATTCTGTCTCATGGTGAGGTCGAGGAGTGGTGGAGGCACTGTGGGCTGCTCTTCGCTCACCTGCTTTCCTCACCAGATACGTGAGCTGCTTATTTGTCTGGGTTCCTCTGTCTCTGCAGCAGGACAGTAATACGTGGTCGGGTTGATTTGAGCACGTGCAGTGGAGTTCAGGCGTGTTAAAGCGGCCTTGACAGTATGCTGCAGTGAACCTTTCTGCAGCAAAGTGGTCAGAGGTGTAAATGTTTCAAGGAATTGAAGGATTTTATCATTAAAAATAGTTGAAACCGCATCATGTTTTTAGAGAAGGTTGGAGTGCTGCTTCTCCACAACAAATTCAAATAAAATGGAAACAGGCAAACCCAAGTGTTGTAAAAAGCACTTTGTAGGGGAAAAAAAAAGGGAGGGGAACCCGAAAAGAGTAGCAAAGCCCAAACGTGCTAACTTTGGTAATTCTTAAAATGAGTTTTTTAGTAATTTCATTTTATGGGAAATTTTGACTTTTCTGTTGTCACTGGGGATAAAAGGGACCTCTCCAGAGCTGCCAGCTCACGGAATGGTAGTGCTGTGTTTCGTCTGGTACTGCACTAGCATTTATGAAGTACTCTGAGGTTTGTGTTCAGCTCCAGTTGGAATTAATCACTGTTGTTTTGGAATCCCAAGGCACAGCAACGCATGGCATCCGGAAGCTCAGGGCTGCCATGGAGAGGGTGTAGGTGGCATTGGGGCTACCTAAAGGGCTCATCACATTGGTGAGCTCTGTACTCCGGACATGCATCTGGTGAGGCCGAAACCCATAACGTAACAGTGTCCTGGGCCCTGCCTTAGCCTGGTAGGAAAAGTTTGCTGGGTGGTGCAGGCAGAGCTGCAGGGATCCCTGCCCACATACAAGGTGCTGGACCAGGGCAGCAGTGTAACGCTGGATGCTCACAGGGGAATGTCAGGGATCTGAGGATTGGAGGAGATGTAGGGTGTCTCTTGGGGGTGGGGTGGAATTGACCCCCCCCTGCATCTGTCAACAGATGTAGCAGCACCTACTTTGTTATTATAATATATAGCTGGGGGCCCAGAGGTAATTGCAGCTCTAAATGACTTTTATTATGCTGTGCTTGCTCCTTGCCTGCTGTATTGAAACCAGATGCTCAGGTCATTAAATAGATATAAGCCAGGTGCTGACTGCCTTGTTTAAGTAAAATACAAACTGATTTCCTGCAG